AATACAGGAGTTAAAAGAAAACGAAATGATGAATTTAAAAGAGAAATAATTATCATTTCTGAAAGTGATAGTGAGGATGAGTTGCCAGAAGTTGAAACACTTCTTTCGAATATTTTTAAAAAACAAAAACTACCAGATAAAAAGACCGAAAAGAAACCTGTTACTAAAAATGATGAATTTATATTCATAACAAATGATAAAAAGTACATTTTAACGAAAGAAGAAATTCAAGCTAAAATTGATAGATTGAGAAAGCGACTGAACCTTAAAAAAAATAAAACTAAAGTAATTAATTTGCTCAAAAACTTCGATGGTACATATTTCTACAAGGGATTCATGGGACAGACACATTTTGCAAAGAATAATCCATTGTGTTTGGTTGATAGGGTGAATGATTTTGTTTCTGGTTACTACGGGTTTTTAGGTTATAGAATCCTTTTCGATTTTATTAGCAAGATTATTACAGAAAATACTTTGATGTTATCAGAAATTGATAGGGATAATTTTATTAGTGAGGTCATCATTCCAGAAATGAGTGTACAACTAATTATGGAAGATTTAAATGTCGATTATGAATTAGGTATTGAGATTCGTGAATCTAGTTCTGAATATGGTTCGGTACATTTTATCGGTAGTGAAGATCTTTCGTATAGTTCTGTGGGAATGGATGCATTTATGGATAAGGTAACTAAGGAGCTTATGGATGATTCGAATAAAGATATGGAGTAACATGTGCTATATAAATATATGTGATGATTTCTGTATTTTTCATATGATCAATATTAGTAATCAATATTTTATAGGTGAAGCAAGTGCATAGAGATCTTCGAATAAATTACCAGGAATAAAAAACGTATTCGTTTGATTTCTTTGTCTTCATCTTTGCATTTTGAAAATCTTTACCTTATTTATTAAATGTATATTTTAAATAATTTTTGATTTGTAAGCGGTAAATAAAGAGTATTACATGATATGCTATTTAAATATTAAAAATCATTTTTGTAAATTATCTGCTCATCATCGATCAACATGATTTTGGATTTATATAGTGCATAAAGTATCCGTTAAAATAATAGCAGAATACCATTATTTAATTTTAAGTTACACCAACAATATAAGTATTTAAATGATTGTCATAATTACCTATTCTAATAACTATGTCATCCAACGACAATTCATTTGTTAAAAGTGAGAAAGTTAAAGGTAAAAAAAGATCGTATACAGTTACAGATGAACCAGAAATTAATGATGTTTGTACGAAAGTAAATAAGAGGGTTAAAACACAAGAGATTGAAAATAATAAAATATTTTCCAAACTCTCTGATAACGAGAAAGAAGTGTTAAAGAAAGAATGGGTTGATAGTATCGTATTCGCGATAGAAACCTCTTGTCACTTTCAGAAATGATAATTATTTCTCTTTTAAATTCATCATTTCGTTTTCTTTTAACTCCTGTATTTAACCCA